TATGTTAGTGACGGACAATCTCTTAGATCGGATTCGCTTGGATTTTCTGGTGATGAGAGGCATTACATTCTCTTTGTCGTCGTCTTCGTTGAAGTCATACACAGAAATGTCTGCTTTCTTTTGGATCTCATTCTCACTCTTCTTCTGTGTCTTCTTCTTAGGGTTTGTTGGCTTAGATTTCATCACTTTCGCAGCTTTCGTCACCTTCTCCTCACGAGTGTTCGCCATTGGGTTATCATTGGTTTCAACAATTATAGAGGAATCCAATGGTTGAATAGTTGCAGCGCTGGAACTGGTGGTAGCAGTGGCTGTGGATGTGAAGGCCATAGCATTGAGAGTAAATGGCTTGTTGTGGTCAACAGTGATGTCTCCAGAAGTAAAGTCTCCGACGAAACCGATGGAAGAAATTCTGTTTTCTCTCGAGAGCTCTAATATTGTACTCAATTCTGTCATCACTTGGAAGTCGTGTTTGATTTTGTCGGCCGAGAGTCTCCTTCGGATGTCCTGTTCCTGAGCTGACAGTGAGAACCGACGCGAATCTCTCCTCACAGACGAGTCATTGAGTGTCCAAAACGGGTCCACTCTTTCGCCACTCATCTCACTGTCCGCTCCGTTGCCATCACTTCTGGTGTCGACCATCGACTCCAATGAACTCATTATTCCTCTCATGGTTTCGATTTTATTCCCGAATTCATTCATTTGCTCTTTCATTGCANTTCTGGTGTCGACCATCGACTCCAATGAACTCATTATTCCTCTCATGGTTTCGATTTTATTCCCGAATTCATTCATTTGCTCTTTCATTGCATTCACTCTGAAGTACTCATCCATCAGAAGACTGTTCGCGTATTTGATTCGATCGCAAACCTAACCATCATTTCAATCAAATTATCGTTCAATTCATTAATTCTCTTAACATTTCATCAATACTTGAGTCATGTTTGCGGAGCTCTTGTCCTTCAGCTCTCGTCTCAGTCTTTCGATTTCAGTCTTGGATTTAATCACTTGTTGTTTGAGTTCAATGTTTTCATTACAAGACTTATTCAGTGATTCCTTACAACAACTCATTTGATTCCTTAAGACAGCGTTCTCTTTGGCCAGTCTTTGATTTTTCATCAAAACCCGGTTATAATCCTCGACTCAATTCACAAATGAATATCAAATTAAAACTAATTTATATGAACGCTATATACGCTAATATTCAGCATATTTTCGTCATATTTACCGGCAATCGGTTTACTACTGATAGCACTGTATATGGAAGTGCTGTTCGAAGTGCTGTTCGAAGTCGAGGCAAATGTTTGCGAGTTTTGCATAAAACTTGTCCGAAGAGGAGTCCGTTTCAGCACTTTCTTTACGAATGACTTTGAATTCATTTTACTTACGGATATCTCGTCTTAAATTGCAATTAAATAGCAATCAATTCAATGAACAAAAGAAATCATTTGTGGAAATAGTGTAGCATTTGAGTGAAAGTGGGTTTCATTTGCACTCAAACTCTATTAATACAGTGAATGATAGCTCGAATGACTTCTCATACTTATAATATTCACTCTATAATCAACTGCTAATCCATTCAATGAGAGCTAAATCTATAAATTTAGTATTTGTTGTTTCTTATCAATTATTCACTGTTAAGTGAATGTAATTTATATGACTACAGTGTACGCATAAAATCGATTTAAAGTTGATTAAAAGCGAGTAAAGTTTGCTTTATCGTTAATGTCATATATTTTCTGAATGATACCGGCAATTATCAAGTGATCTAGCAAAATTGTTATTTTAAAAATTGGTTTTTTAAAATCTTTATGATCATGAAAAATTATCCAAAAATATAAGTAGCATAAATAAATTTAAGTTAAAAACTTGTAATGGAGTTAAGATTTTATTTTAAAAATGATAAATTATATCAGATATAAAAAAAACTAAGCTGGAAAATCATTTAAAAGTATCGTGGTCATTCTAAAAGAACTGGATACAAATAAAAACAGGAAATGCAAGAATTTGAAACAAGCTACAATTTAAATCAATGCTAAGCGCCAGCCATTGGACGCTGGGATTAATAAATATTTTCAATTGCATTATATGTGGCATTGAATGCGAGTTTACATGAGGTATACGTTTGTATTGACACAACATATTGTAAGAAATGGCAAACAATAGCACATATACTATACATTGTATTGCATTATATTTTTGACAATTTTTGTGCAAATGATTGCAAATTAATTACAAAAAGTGAAACAATTTACTAATCAATCCATTGTACGGACATTGAGTACATTAGACACTAATATCGGTATATATAAGCCTGGTAATCACATCCATAGTCATAGTAAGCGACAAATAATGTCAAAGCAATGAGTTTTGTATAAAAAAGTTTTATTAAAACATATCAATAGAGACGTGTGTCTAATGAATAGACCGTTAAATACAATAAAAATAAATATATTTTAATCAAATTGATTTATTTTTGTATAACTTTTATGAAAATCACATTTTATTTATTAATCATTTGTTAATTTATATTTCAGTAATGATATGATTATTGGATTCATAATTATTTGCAAAAGTTTTTATTGAAATCTTTTTATCGAAACAATTATTNCCAAAAATATATATTATAAATAAAATTAAGATTTATTGGATTTGTATTTATATTGAATTTACAAAACGATTAATCAATAAAACAGTCGATAATAACATCTTAATAAACAATACTTTATTTAAAAATCGGTTAGAAATAGTGAACTAATCTCCGGATTATTAAGAGTGCAGTCATTCAAGACTTGGTTCCTGTGATCGATACTAATGGACACAAGAATAACATTAGACATAGTGTTGGACGGAGTGAACGAGACATACAAACGATAATAAGGATGACAACGAGGACCACAACACCGATGAATATATTGACTCTCATGTTCTGCCACCACATCCTTCGGGCCACCCGTCGAGCGCCCACTCGGAACTCGTCGGCCCTATTGGACAGCATCTCAGACCTGTCCTCGAGATGGTCTAACCGCGAGCCCCTGTCCAGCATCTTATCGATGTTCTGCTGCATTATGTTTGACACTTCGCTCACGTGTTGCTTCAGTCTTGAGACACATCCAGACATTACTAGACATTCACTACTCATTACTCACTACACATTGCACTCACTTCTGGATCTTCGGGTCACTGGATGTCTGGGCACTGCTGTGGCATTCAAACAGATATTAGACATACGGTTAACACATTTCATGACCAATTGGTGTCACAACAAACCTCTGTTCCTCCAGATTGTCATCGCTTCCACTGTCCACCTATTCAATGGACAAGACATCACTTAATGTGCCAAATGGACAGACAATACATACGTTGACCGCCGAGTAATCGCTGTTATATTTGGGTTGAGTTGACATCTCTATTACCACTCAATTCACTGTAATTCACACCAAATGACACACAAATCAATACAAAACTGATGTCTCTTTGCATGAAAACATTGCAATTCATAACAGAGTCTATGTTTCACTCAACAGATGGCGAGTGGGTCTCCATTGCACACAAACTCACGTTTGCAGTGATTGGCCGATTGGGCACACATTGGGACCAATGGTAAGCGAGCATTGAATGTATAAAATAATGCCTCAAAAGTGAAAGCATTGATTGAATTGTGGTTTTGGTTAACGTTTTAAATGGCATTCAATTTGTGAGACAATTCATGTCCAACTCATCCATACATTTGTGTCGAAGACATGAAAATGAGATTTAAAAGCAAAA